TTTTTATATATTATTTTATTACAATATGTATATTATTCTTAATAATAATTTTTGTAATATTTTAGTATAAAATTTTAACGTCAATATTTTACAACATTTTCTACATATTTATAATTATATATATTACGATTTGACATAAAATGTTTTAAGACTTGGATGCTTTTAGTAGAATTATTTTTTTTATTATGTTTTAGAAGCTGCATTTTTTTTGTAACACATTTAATTTTATAAGTCTTGCCTTAACGATGTGTTATTTTTGTATTATAAATCAATGCCAGCGCGTATAAACTATAAAGAAGCATTTTATTCTAATTGTGATAAAAGATAATTTCACGTCTGATGATAGAGTATATTGCACAGAAGAGACAACATATTGCACAGAAAATTCAGATTTTGATAACACTTTACACATATGTAGAACAGTCAGAATGATGAGCAATTTTACAATTTCCTGTTAGTGCAAAACAGGATTTATGTGTCGTGCTTTGCACTCTAACGCACGAGGCTAAGAATCTGTGAGTAAAATTATGACCTATTTCCTCAAGCAGTGAATTAGTTATAAAGTAAGCTTTTAATTCTTAACCTTAGGGCACTTTTGTTTCTCTTGCATCTTATTTTACTTCTGAAAGAGAAATGTTAAATATTACATCTAAACGACCTAAAAGATAAACAAATCAACGAATGAAATTAAAAAATTTTAACTACGATTTGTTTAAAAATAATATAATATATAAATACAAATTAAATATTTTATAAAAATAAATCGAAATAAATAAAATTAATTTTCTTCTCGTAAATATGTGTATCTATTTAATACATTTTTTATCACAATTTTGCGACATTTATTAAATTGAAAATATTGAAATTACGTTTAATTATTATTTCATTTACCATCGCAATTAATTAAACTGTACTGTATATGACACAAATATCAGTTTGTAAATGATAATTTACATACCAAACATTTATAAATAACTGTATTATAATCAATCGATAAAATTATAGCTGCTATTCATGATATTTAAGATTAATCATATAATCGATATTTGCCATTATCAAATATGTACATACTCTCCACATATAACTTATTGAATCTCGTTTATTTTTATTCACAGAAATTGCAAACGATTGGCGAAGACTTTTGCGGCCTCGATGTGAATACGCCTTTAGGTGGCGAAGAGCCGATGGGTGCGACTGCAGTTTTGACATTCGAGACTCACTTGACGGCTGTGGCGGCCACTTCGACCGGTGATTATACTGTGGTCTTCGTGGGCACCAATAAAGGACACCTCAAGAAGGTCAGTGCTCGAAGTTAATTAACTCGATAACTTATTTACTGTATTAAATCATAATTGATTTAATACAAAGAAAATTTTATATTTCATAAAGAATATTCAAATCTTTATTGAAATTTCTAAATAAAATAATCTTTGGAATAAAATTATTAAATATAATGAGGTTATTAATGGAATCTACATGATTCGATAAAATTATCAACATACTAGTGGTTACGCTGTTACTCGACAAATTATCTAAAACCAATAGATTTTATGAAAATACGATATTAGAGAATAGCAGCATATTAGGGTAGTCGAACTACATGGATAAGTGACATTACAACGAGGTAATATTCAACTTAGCGCACAAGTTGTTGAAAATTATCTAATAAAAGTTATCCAATCTCTGCTGCCTCATAGTTATGTGATAATAGATAATTTCTATACAAAATAACCGAGACGATTAGCATTATAAAGTCATCGATTAGCGAAACATAGCTCGACGCTTAACGCTACTTGCTTCCCCAATCTCTTCAACGCTAAAGGCAAGGAGTTCAGCAACCCTGAACTTAACGGGGCGAAGTAGGATCAAATGGCAAAGTTCAGTAGTTGCATACGTGCACATGCACATCATCCCACTAAAGCATACGCCCGCGTACGTACTAAAGTCTTCCTCGATCATCGTAGGGCATGCTCGTTAAATTAATCGCGATCACCATACGATTACCACGCTCGTGAATCAAAACACGATACAACAACGTTACAACGGGCCATTTAATTGGCTTCGCGATAAGCGATAGAGTCAACGGCCTGGCCAAAAAACCTACGGCGTGTACTCGCAGAATTGGGGATCGTGGATAGTGCATTATCGTGCATCGCTATTAAAGCCTATGAAATTTTCACAGAAGAACAGCTGCATCGCTAGTTGGATCACCACGAACGGGAATCCTCCTGGCACGGACTGAATTTCTATGCTTTTTTTTCTTTCTAATCTGGATATTGATTTACTGAAAGATTTATACTTCTCTCAGTCTCTATGCCTTAGACATTGCTCTCGAATCTTTTCTCTCTCACATATAGAAATTTCTATACAAAAGCCATCAATAAGCTTTCTCACTAATTTATTTTTCAGAACTTTGCTAGCGTTAGTTACCCGCGGGTAGAAAGGAAATGCGTTCTCATTCGCGATTACGAACGGCAGTCACCGTCCTCTTGATGGAGAAAGTAACGATAAATATAGCTGGCCGTCCTATTGTAGATAATAATATTTATAGAGTAATAACGTATATATACATAATATCGGAGAGAGGGAGAGAGGAGAGGAGGAAGCGAAGCACACACGTCTATGTATGCACGCTTCTATACTTCCACTGTTACATCTATATGTTACGGTAGGCACGACATTACGTTTTTACACCATAACGTCATATCTCGTTATAAAATTATTATTTACAGCACTGTAAACGCGAAATCTCTATCCGCGATTCGTACTGCCCTTCTGAGATTTATCGGTCTCGTAAACGACGACGTGTAACCCTACTTTGGACATTTAATATTCGGAACGGCACATCCAGAGTCGGGTGGCTTGTGATTCGTCTTTGTGAAGTTCGCGACGTTAATACGCCTTTTGCCGTTTCAACGGAAATGGATTATCTTGGCGAGACCTCGCCTCGAGCGCGCCTTGCTAATGTTCTTCTCGAACGCTCGATCAGCTTGTTCGATAGGTCAAGTCGATTTACGTGAGCGTGCGCTTACTATCGCAAGGAGAAGATTTATTTAGATCCAGAAAACTGATCCAAGAATACATAAGGTGAAAACAAATGCATATGCTAGATACATATATTGATAATACAGTAAGTGATATCATGATGTAAAAATATACAAGGTGTTTCATTGTACAATACATAATGATGATCAAATATACATAATTTTGGGTTAAATTTTTGATTAATAATAAATAAACTTTTTTTTTCAATAGCGGTTTTATATTGACTTATAACATTTTGAGCTAATTTCTGATTATTATCGACTGCCCATTCACAGTAAAATATCTGGTATTCTTGCACCATATGAGTAAAAACAAAATTATATTATATATACTTATTTTTTTAGTTAAAATAAAATAAGATAGTAATTTTTAAATTAAGTTTTTAATAAAAATTACAATACTATAAATATTAAAAATATAATATAAAATTGATAACGACATGACATAATAATAATATTATAAGTATTTATAATTATATGTATTGGATTTTGATAATTCCTGAGGTAATATATATATTATATATATGTATATATTTATTACTTTTGTTTTAAGTATTGTTAATAAATGTTTACATCTATTACTTTTTTTAGATCGTAATGAGATAAAAGTTTTTTTATTTCATAATTTATTAGAAATTTTTTCTCTATCGTGTCTTTCACTTTTCTGTTTGCATATTGATTGTTCCTGAGATAGCGTGAGAAATATTTTCACTAAGTTCAAACAGTAGAATTTTTGCGTAAATTAAACGTTTTATTTTCAATGAAAACAGTTTTCACATTTCGACGACATGACATAGTATCGTAATATTACTGGCAAGCACATCTCTATTTTATTACCTCGCAAAACTATTTTATTAGTTCCACGAGATCATCATGTCTCGAACTGTGATCATGTAGGAATACTTATTGTTACTTTTAATAGGATATCAATATCTATAGGTATGCTGTGCCGAATACCATAACTACTGACATTTTATGATATTCTTAAAAAAGTATTATTATATAATATATTACAACATACATCGAGTAGAATAACGTAGAAAAAAATAGAAGTTTTTTTTATGTGAAAGGTTAATAAAAATAAATGGAAATAAATATTAATAAAATTATACTAAATATTTGACAAGTTAACTTGTACGCACTCAAAGTATATTATAACTTTAACTTTTTGCAATATCGAATAAAATATTAATGAATATTTGAGAGAGATATTAAAATATCAAAAATATATTTATATTAAAATAAATAATATCATAAATTGAAGATGCGAACATTTTTATGATCGTACGATATGTCAAACGCGAAGTCTTCGTTGCATCTAAGTAATCAAAGTGATAAGCGACGAAAAGAGAGATGGCAATAAAATATCTGCCATATACGAATCAACGAAGCGAGAGCAAAAAAAAAAGAAGACGAGGACATCGCCGACGCATCCTGCATAATTTATCGGTCGATCGATTTTGTTCGTACTTTCGGTTCTTTTTGTTCTTTTATTTCATATGTTCGACCCTATAGCGCGAAGGCGCATTCTTATATGTGACACGTGGCAATATATGACGCACGTGCTTGTTATAGCTATGTTTAATATTACCTGATACAATTAAACCGGTAACAAACCGAGACAGTAGCTCGATTTTCACGGCGTAGAGGAAAAGACATCAAGACTTAATTCGTCTAAATATATTGGACACCATAATTTTGCAAGTAAATTAATTTTTATAATTAGATCTGTTTAATTAATTAAATTCCCATTTTTTAGTGTTTCAAAAACATACATAATTTATGAGATACCGTTATGTTAATTAAGATATGTAATGTTAATTGATAAACAATAATTAGTAATCGATATATAAGGCGTAATATACGTTATAACAGAAAATATCTCTCATCACTGAGAAAAATGATAATAAAATAAAATCAATATACTATTGAAACAATAAATTATTTTAATAACAATAATATTGATTTAACATGTAGTTTCATAGCTAATTTTCTAATAAAAAACAGTTTATATTAGTCAAAAGTTAAAAAAAATATCTCTGTTTACATATAATTTACATTTAAATTATTGCTTCAACTAAAATCAATAATCCATTTAAGAATTCAACATTTAATTATATATACTATTGTAATTTAATTAGCAAGAAATTCCAAAATGTAAATAAAAATGAATTATTCGCACATTATTTGCTGTCACGAATATATTAAGATTATTCTAAGATAATAAATTAATGCACGAACTGTTTATACAATATACGTCCGATTATTTTAAACTAAGAAAGTATGCTGTTTCTCATATAGATTACACAAACCAATGTCAGTTTTCACGGATAAACTTTTTCACACGGGTGCATTGACTTGCGCGAGCTAATTACATTGAATCAGCCGGTCGGTGATTAATAATCGTATCGCATTGTTTATCATTCCTATAATCATCCCCACGACACAGCGGCAACGAGATATTTCGTCCACAATCTCGCCGACACGACGCGAGAAGACGCCGTGAAGCGGCGGGCGTTGATTCATGACTCGTCTCGGTCCCGGAAGGTATTAATTAATGATCGCGTCCACTTATACGTATATATACATATACATATATTGGTAAAACGTGCGGTCGAATACGAACTTCTCAGGTCGTGCCGTGAGGTCATCCTTGAGATATTTACACGTGCACTAACAGTCACTGTGCGAATGCGCCGGTAAATAACCTGATGCATTTTGGTATTGGAATAAATCGGCGTATAAATGTCTTATAGCAACTCTTTAATAATTGACTGATTGATGTCTGATTATATAAAGGAATTACCACTAAATTAATAATCTGTTTTTTGGCTAACATTTAAAATAAATGTTCATTTAAGAAAAGTTAAATAGCTATTGTACAATAATTAGATCTTTAAACTAAATTTGTTGCACTTTATTTTTAATTATATATATTTCTAAAAATGTTCATATCTTAACTTTTGTTATTTAGATATTGTAAATTAGTGCAAGAATACACACATCTTTAGTTTATTAAAGTTTACTAAAATTTTTTACTAATATTCTCCATTAAATGTAGATAGCGTTGTTTTAGAATTTTGGCAAGATGCATATTCACTACTTATTGCTTCTTTTTATACTTGTTTTATTTTTATTATTTATTATTCATTTATGTTGCTCGACCTATTTTTTATAGGGTTTATATTTAGTAATGTCTCGCAGATTAAACGAATTATTATATGGTTACGATAGAAATTGCGGTATTAAAGTAT